TAAAATCCAAAAACTTCTCGTATCCAATCCTTCAATGAAAAATTTAATAAGTCATTTCAATTTCTCTTATTTCATTCACATTCAAGACTATACAACAGGGATGGCGAACCCGTGGCACGCGTGCCATTGATGGCACCTGACACCATATTTTGGGCACGCCACTGATCAAAACTGTTTGCATTTTAATTAAAAATAACAAAATTCAATATGAAGTATTACGAGAAACGTGAGTGATCGGTCGCAGTTTTCAGCGAGATACTCTCAGTTTAAAGAATTATCGGAAACGCTCAAGTTTTTTTATGTACTTAGATGTGATTTCATTTAATAAACTGAATTTGTCCCAATTCTATTGGTTGTAAATTGAAAACTTTAAAATGCAACTGATTTATTTCCAGTCTAGTTCAATATGGATTCAAAAATTCGTTGAAGAAAGGAGAAAGTTGGGATAGATTAAAACAGAAAGATTAACTAGCAATGTAAGTAAAAATACTAGTAATGAAATTTTGGAAACATGGAATTCGATTCCAGATATGTTTAGCTGTTTGAAAAAACTGGCTTATACTATTTTAACCATATTATCATCAACCTATGCCTGCGAGTCATTATTTTCAGAGATGAATAACATTAAAGTCTCACTTAGAAACCCCGTTCGGAAGATGACTCCAAAGCAACTTGCATTCTGTGTGGTAAAAGTAACATCTTGCAGTCCTAATACAAGTTATTTGTCATCTAATCTATACTACAACAGAATTCAAACCAATGTAACTTTAATTTAAATTGCAGGTATAAGTAAAACATTTACTATTATAGTGTGCAAAATGTATTTTTTCGCTGTAACTAGAGTTTTGAGTAGTTAGTATTTAGTTTTAGTATTTTCTCAACAATCACGTCAAAATTATTTGACGGCACGTCTATACTTTAAACATTTCTTAAAAAAAATGGCACGTTGATCCAAAAAGGTTCACCACCCCTGCTATACAACTATAGCAAGAAAATATCATAAATATTAAAATAATGATTACGCACATTAATCTGGTCTGTATATAGCAGGGATGGCGAACCAATGGCACGCGTGTCATCGATGGCACGCGACACAATATTTTGGGCACGTCATCGATCAAAACGGTTTGCATTTTAGTTCAAAATAACAAAGTTCAATATGAAGTATTAGATGTACATGAGAAACCAGACGAAGAAAATGTTAGTGAGGAATTTATTTCCGTAACTGATTTTTTAATCAAAGAATTTTTAGCGAGATTTTCTCAGTTCAAACAATTATAGGAAGCGCTCAAGTTTGTTATGTACCATGTTGTGATTTCATTTGATAAACTGAACTTTTCCCAATTCGATTGGTTAGAAATGGAAGAATTTGAAATGCAACTAATTGATTTCCAGTCTAGTTCAGTATGGATCCAAAAATGTATTGAAACAAGAAAGAAGTTGGAATTCAGTGAAACAGAAAAATTAACAAGCACAGTATAAGTAAGCGAAATTTTGAAAACATGATATTGAATTTGATTTCAGATACATTTGACTGCTTGAAGAAGCTGGTCCATGCTATTTTAACAATGTTATCTATCTATGCTTGTGAGTCATTATTTTCATAGATGAACAACATTAAAGACTCACTAAGAAAATGTGTTTGGCAACTCCAACACACCATGTATTCTGCTAAAAGTAGCATCAGATAATCGCAATATAAGTTATTTGTAATCTAATCTGCAACAACAGAAATCACACTGATGTTATTTTAATTTGAATTATACGTATAAAACGAAAAGATTTTCTATTATAAAGTACAAAATGTATTTTTTCGCAGTAAATAAAGAGTTTCGAACTATCTCAGTATTTAGTTTCATTATTTTCCCCATAATCACAAGTCAAAAATATTTGACGGCACGTCTGTAACTCTGTAAGCATTTTTTTAGAAAAAATGGCACGTTGATCGAAAAAGGTTCGCCATCCCTGGTACATAGCAACAAAGTCGAATACATAATCCTCTAATAATCATTATCCAATTCAATCATATTTTTTGTGGATTCTTGTACTGGTTTAATTTTAGAGCATGAAGAATGCCTTATTTAATTTATACACAAATTATTTTATTTTTTTACACCAAGCAAGTTAAAGGTAATCTATCTATCTAAAGATCTTTGTAAATGTTATATGTTCACTAGGAAATTTTAGAAATAATGATAGAATCAAATATAAGTAATCCTATTTACTGTGTCAGTATTATTGTTTTCAGCCAACAATTAAAATGAATATTCTTATGACATGCAGTTTCTTTTCAGGGAACGAATTTGAATTAACCCTTAGTACTCAAATTATGTAGACAATTTTGTAATTATTTGCCGGTAGACCCCATAATGGTATTTTGAACCTACCTTTTAACCAATTAATTGATTCTGTGTGATCTGACGCACTTCCAAATGATGTTTCTCTCTATATATGTGCATTTCCTAAACATAGTCCTGAACTTACGTAATGATTTAAAAGCTTTATTTACTCACACATCAGACTTGTCTAGATCGTACTCCCCCATATGCCTCCTTTAGGTAACGGTAACCCTAAACTCCCTTAATTTGACTATTAAATTTTAATTACTGGAAAATGAATTTAATCTTCCTCTTACAACCTTGACCTTAAATTAATTGTCGCTATTAGACTGTATTTTCAATGTTAATTTCATAATACCAGTAATTGCGTCTGGCTGCGAATGGCTACATTTTATTTGATTGATCGTTTATGAATTTAATTCGTTAATAAAATATTAAAAAAGAGGGGGTTACATTGTTGGCAAAATTAAAATAAAGGACACGTAACCAAATGGTAATAGATTTTTGTATCGCAATTATAAGCAAAGATTATCGAGCGATGGAGGCTGACGCGTGCTAAATATGTAGTAGCTTTAAGTATTCACGTTGACTTTAATAGGATGCATGTGCAGGATTGGACTCCGTCATTTGAACATTATTCTAATTCAGGAGTATTAGCCGCGTAAAGTATACCTTAGGGTAAAGCACAAGTTTGCAGACGGAAACTTTCAAAAGTCTAATAAAAGAAAGTGAGGTTGTTGGTAAATTAAAAGCAAAGAATAAATGATAACCAGAGGTATGACGTAAAAAAGTAAATATTTGCTTCAATTAAGAAATAGATCAGATAGTAATTGTTTCAAATCAAAATAGATCAGGAAATAATAGTTTCAAACAGTAGCACACACAGGAATTTTTCAGGAGGGGGGGTCCGGGGTTGAAAGTTCACCATTCTTGTATCATGCTTCTTTTGATTTTGTTGATTTTCGTGAACAAAACACAGTAAAAAACTAATTATTGAATAAATAATTAGCATTAATTAATAAAATTATTCATTAATAACAAATATTTAATTAAATTTTACGTGCTATATACTTAGAATTATAGTCAATCGCGGAAAAAAAATCAAGAGTTTTCTTTGGGGGGGGTCCGGACCCCCCTTGTATGCGCCAATGGTTTCAAATCAAAATGGATCAGGTAGTAATTGTTATCAAAATAGATCAAATCTATTCTGATCTATACAAAATTTGTAGGGCAATATGTGCATGCGAGTTCCAGAACTATGTAATGATTTATCGACGAAGAGAGCGTGCAATATTTAGCCATCATTCTACCATATTACTACTAGGTTTTGAATTTCTTCAGATTTATAATTAAATTTAGCTTTTACTTATAAATATATTTATTTATCATAAAACATTTTTTTTTTATTTTTTAAAAGCTACTAGCAATTACTATATCATAAAGAGTTGCCATCAATACAAGAACACCAAAAGAGTAGTCCAGAAATCGAATTTTTAAATAAATTACATAATATTTTAATGTGAATCGACACATTAAACTATGATATTATATACACATTATATATATATTTATTAGTTTTAGCTCTCTTATATAAACTTTCTCTAATTCTAAAATTTCGTACATATTTTCTAAGCACCTCTTGTTTGACCGAAAAATATATTTGTGAACAGTTATTTCATTAAGTTTTAGTTCTTTACAGTGAAGTTAAGTTGATTAATTTTTGATACTCTTGTGCTTTTTGTCGTTTTAGAATTTTTACAAATTATTTTTTTCACTTTGAAATTTCTTATATTCTTTCTAAGTAGAGTGCTGTTTGTTACTCTAGAATTATGGGAGCTATGAAATTCTCCTTCAAATTAAGTAAAGTGCTAAAACTTTTTTAACGTTATCTCTGTGTTTTCTAGTCTTAATTTTATTTCTGTCCAGTAATATAAGCAAATAAAGGGGAAGATTACAGCCTTAAAAATATGTTTAACCTTACTATGTTAGCCGTAAGCTTAAGAATGCTAATTTATTACTGTTACAGCGCACAATTACCTTACTTTATGACGTTGTTTGATACAAAGACCTCACCTTGTGAAGCATATGCGATTTACACAATTATACATTACTATTCAAATACAACTGCGGTTAACAGACGACAGGAAAGCAGATTTCAAAAGGATTATTAATACACACATACACACGTCTGTTGTTTATGATTATCAATTACATTATTTTCCATTCTTTGTTTTGTAGGATATTTCATCATGTTTGTAATACTTGTATTATAATATATATACCTGTGAGAATATCATGAAGTGTCAGTGAATGTTAGCAAAAAAAAAGTTCTGAAATTAATACTCAGACAATGAGACTGATTGAGAACAAGTAATATTTAAAAAAAAGTCAATTCCTACTTAGGTCAACAAAGAAAATTTTTGTTTCAATTACTTTTTATTATAAATAACTATACAATTAATATAAATATGTATATGCATATGACAGAATCACAATATTAAATGACGAAATAGAAATTGATTTTCCTTGCAATTTTCCAATTCCCTTTCTATATATAGTGTTGGACTACCATTTTTGTTTGTTACTATTTATTCAGTAGTTTAATTTAATTATTCCAATAAAAAGAGTAGTAAAAGGAAATCTCATTCTCAGAAATTAGTCCATTCCAGATGGAATTCGAATCCACAACCTTTGGATTAGAAGTAAAACGCACACTATCCATTGTGCTGCTGGAACGCAACGAATGATTTTCCTTTTTTATATATGGTGTTGGACTATTATTTTTGTTTGTTACTGTTCATTCATTAATTAAATATAATTAATGAATCAATATTTAAAAACTGTATTAACATCAAGTGTTCTCTACTACAAGTTTAAAAAAATGTATTTGAACTTGAATAGATGAATAAAAAGTATTTTATTAACGATTGTGTATATATATAATATAAATATATAGGGAGAGTGTGTGAAGTTAGTAGGAATTGAAAAAGGACTAGAGTAAAAGTACTTGAAGAAAGAAGTGTATCATTTAAACATAGCTGCATGGAGGTTTTATTTAAAGATAATTATTATTTATGTTTATCGTTAGAATACGATTAGGTAAACCACACATGCGTATATGTAAGTATTTTTATCAAGAAGAATATATATATTACAGTATTTGAAATTATGAAAAAAAATTGTACTATATTTGTGTTGCTTCTGATTCAACGTCGTCTGTGTCTTTAACCTGTAATTTTTAATTAATTCCTTGCTTATTGTTTTGATTTAAATTAGATTTATAGCAATTTAGTATTTAGTAATGATTCCATATATAATGAAAATAATAAGAATAAATATAGGCAGAAAATATATAGTATAATTATGTAAAATATTCGAATAATTCATAGCTAAGTTAAGATAATTAATGCTGGGAAACTCAAATAAAAGCTATATTATTTAAGTGATTGAATAATGTTAGAAATATTCACGCCTAAAAAGGTATGAGAATTTGTTCTAGCTCAGAAAATTGCATTTTTTCACAGTTAAATTTGTCTTTTCATCACACAATATATAGGATAACTTATTTTATGAACATTCACACACAGCATAAAATCAATTTCATATGCATTTCATTGTTGTTTTTCTCTTCAGAAACAACACTAAAATTGCTCGTTGATTAAATTAACATTACCAAGATTATTTTATTTATAAAGGAGTTTATATCATTTCGAGAGTAACAACTTTTGTATATGTCTGCAATATAATCAAAAAAAAATCTCCAAAACAAAGCAGATTTTTCTTATCTTAGTCTAACATCTTCAAGTTAGTTAGTCAAAGTAGGATAAATAAGTTTATATATTCTCATATGTTTAGATGTTTATCTCTTAAGCAAAAGAGATAGAGCTTTCTGAGTAGCCAAAGCAATTATAGAGATTTATTAATAATTTTTATGCAAGGAATATAACTAGTACCCAAAGTTTTTTGATTATGTAAAGCAATTATATATGGAATAATATATATTTCTCTTTCCTATCAACCTGAAATATGTGTGGGTTGTCTTATACTGGTAAAGTGAATAGTTAACGTTATATTGAATAAAGAACTTCTTCAAGCTAAAAGGAGTTTTTTAAATATCATTCGTAGTATCTTTTTCTTCCCATGCTACACTCCTTATTTTTTATGTATTACTTTCTTGCTTATTTTGAAGAATTTTATCGCAATACAACTACGCTGTCATTTATTAACATTAGTTGGAAAATAATTATGAAAGGAATCCTCATGACTGCAAAATAAAAGAGTTCTCAATTTTTCCCAAGAAAAATCGGTGATTAATATAAATTGAAGTACTTCTAGAGGTACACAGAGTAAGAGGGTTTGGCATTGTTTTAATTATATTCTTTCATAATTTGCAGTGAGTGAAGGCGAGTTAAATTGACGTCGAACTATAACGCAGCATGAGGGCTGGTGGCAACGAACTTCGTAATTTTAACACTGAGCTGGCACCACCTTCCTAACTTCCACACCACACCAATGGGAGGACGTGTGTGCTTCAGCAGATTTAACGTGCAACGGTCCCTGTACATTGAGGGTCTTCAGCGATACAAGGTTCGAACTCATGACAAGCCACCCACGAGTCTCGGAGTTTGCAGGAGTTCTCACACAAAAACGGTTTTGAGCAGTGGTTCCCAAAGTAGTATCTACGGACCCCAGGGGTCCCCGATATTATCCATGGGGTCGGTAGAAAATTAAACTTGGTTTAGGGGTCCCTGAACAATGTCAAAGGGTTTAAAATAAAATTAAAAAATTGATTCATTTTTATTTTTTATGGAAATTTAAATAAATAAAACAATAATTAATTTGGATATTACCGGAGTTGAATCCTTTTGCTCAGATCCCAAACATGGATGAATCCATATTAACACAGGAACATCTTATTGAAATATTAACAAATGAGAGATTTAAACCAATGTGAACATGAATTCTGGTTACAAAAATAGATCCAAATTTTATACCCTGCACTAGGAATTGTAGTACAGAAGTTGTTGAATACTTTCCTGTCTTTCAATTTGATAAAATGGGGATTCAGTGCCGGAAGAACCTCATCACAGGAAAACAGAAACCGACTAAAAACTAGTGCTCGTGGGAATTCGTGTTTGCGACTCACAAACATTGAGAGGGACATAAATACACTTATAACATCTCATCAAGTTCATCAAAGCCATTTTTTTTATTTTACTTTAAATAATATTAGTTATAATTTCAATAAAATGTTTTTTTTATTTGTAATTTTTTATACTATGCATTTATGTACCTTTCTCACTTGGGGGACCTTGGGAAAGTTTTAACTATAAAAAGGGGTCCATGGGTTAAAAAAAATTGGGAAACAGTTTAGAGCTGAACATTATCTAAAAGTTAACTGCCTTAAATTCCCTCCCTAATATAAAAATGTTACTTGAAGAATACCAAATCAATGTTTTCACCTGAAAATTTTATTTTTTGTGCTAACTAGCACTTTCGAGTATTTGAAATGAATTTATACCATCTGCTTTCTGATAAATATTCATATCACAACAGCTTCTTTAACAATGTTAATTAAAACTGTTTCGTGTCATAATATTTAAGCACATTTTTTTTTAAAAAAACTTTATTCTATTAACTATTATTCTAAAAACGTCTGTCCTTCCTTCCTCAGTGGCATGACAGCCCAGGGTGGGCCTTGGCCTTCTCAAGAAGCCTTTTCTAGGCCAGCCTTCTTCCTGCTTGTGTTCTCCAATTCCTAGTTCTTAAAACTAGGAGATCTTTTTCCAGGCCATACTTTAAAACGTAAAAGAGAAAAAAATCGAAAAGCAGAAAATTTCCTTTGATTACACGATGCTTAAATTACTGTTTTTTATAGAAGTCAAATTAGTATGCTGATATGTCATTAGCTTTGACTTTCGGTAGTTTATGTAATTTTGTTTTGTTTTTTATTATGTTTAAGGTATCCGACTACGTACGGAACCAGGATTTAAAAAAAGCGCATAAATGGATAATTTTCATGATATTTAGTGTCACTTAGATTAGAATACATGTATAAAACAGTTTTAACGACATTATGACGAAAAAAATTATTTAAATACAATATTTTGGCAAAAAATTAACTTAGAATAACTTTTTTTCAAAACATTCTCCTTTTATAAAAAAAAAATGTTTCTATATATACTAATTATATTTTACTTATATAAAGTAAAGACTTCTCCAGAGAGTCTGAACTAGGATTTTTGAAAAATTCACGTTATTTTCAGAGGAACCACCAATTGAAATAATTATCGGCGTTTTTTTCTTAAAATTTCTCCCCTCTGTTGTAGTAAAATATGGATAAATCCACTTCTAAGTTAAATATTTCAAAAATTCTAGTTCAGCCTCTGTGCAGAAGTTTGGACTATATACAGGCAAAATATTATTATAATAGAAGCATTTTTCATTAAAAAAAAGAATATTTTGAAAATGGGTCATTCTCTCTATATGTTCATTTTTTGTCAAAATATTGTACGTAAGTATTTTTTATAGTAATTGTATTCTTAAAACAATTTTATATACTTTTTCTAATCTAAGTGACGTTAAATATCCTAAATATTTTCCATTTATAAGCTTTTCAAAATCACGGTTAAGAACGTAGTCGGATACCTTAAATGAAAAATGGAAAAAAAAAATATTCGTTCTAAAATATTAATAAAAAAAATTCTACTTATAATCTGCTATATATGTTTTTGTGGTGTGACGATTGCTTTATAATGATTATAAGTTTAAAATATATTAAATAAATATATTTATATAAATATTAATTCATCAAAAAAGAATCGCTTGTTGTTAAATGTGTGTGTAAAAGGATTAATTCACACAAGAAAGGCAACATTTTAGGAACATTTTCAGCCATATTTTATTACACATGACGATCAAATATATGTACAGCCCACTTTGAAGAAATCTACTTTACAGCATTATTATTTTCCATCCTTTTTTCAACACTGTTTTGTACAAAGAAAGATAGTGGTGGCGTAATCACAGAAATCATTAATATACAAGAAATACAAAGTAAAATATAAAATAACTTTAGTTCTATAATACATAAAAATTTTTTTATAAAATAAAGAGCGATGATTACTGTTTCCAGGATTATATCAGCACCACTGATCTATTTTATTTTCAGTAGAATTTAAAACAATTATTTAAACCTTCTTTCTATACAATTTTTGCGGTTATGATAATTGATTACATTCTAAAAATGGCAAAGCATTAAAAATAATTGCCTGGAATAGTAATTTATGTTTTTAAAACAAAATTTTTAATTACCGGAATCAAACTGCTGATAAATTACTATATTGTATTCATTGATGATCATTAATATATTTTTGATTAATTTAGCAGAAGTAAAAATTATTGATAGATGAATAATATTGAACCCGTTAATATTTCCCTCCTTTTGTTTGCTAAAATACAGATAACTTATTTCAAAAACACTTTTTAAAATATGAGAAACTGACAATTATTTAAAAAGAAAAAAAGGGAGAGGAGGGGGAATTTTTAATATAAAAACTAGTTATTTTTATATTTTGATTTGATATTCCGTTGGAGCAACATTCAATATATGTGCTTCATCTACTATGTATAATTTGTTCTTCTCTAAAAAAGGAGTTTGAAATAATTAATTATTTAATACACACAAAAGCCTACCCTTCCAAACTTTCATATAACTTTTAAATAATAATTATATT